TTCCCTCATACAAAAGCCACTTCCCATCTCCACTCCTCCTCATCTCTCCCTATTTTTGGTGGGTGTTTTTTTTTCCTACTAGAGCTTTTCTTTTTCCCTCCCAGAGCAAACAGGAATGTTGAACATCCCTTTGCTTCCAGATCCATGAGTGGGATCCTGGTCAGGCTATTGTATCCCAGAATCCTGCAATGCTTTGGGCTGGAAGGACCTTAGAGCTCATCTCATCCCACCCCCTGCAACGGGCAAGGACACTTTTCCCAAAGCTTTCCAGGAGTAAAACTGAAGGATTTTTAGGCTGCTCTTCCAAACAGGTGCCATTAGTGCTGAATTAATAATTCAGTCCCTGAATTTTGCTGTTCCTTTTCTAAAAGGATAAATAGAAATTATTTCACTATAATAGAATGTAACAGAAATAATGAATGGTGCCAAACTCCATGGATTATTTTTTTCCCTCTGCTGTGATTTCCCACTTGGAGCAAACCCCTTACTCTGAGTGTTAGGAGTGGAGAGGGAAAGGATCCTCTGCACTTGCACGGGGAACATCCATTTGTGCATCTCCACGTGCTTTACAGGAAGCAATTAATGCTCTCACAGCGCTGAGGGGCTGGAGATAAGAAAGCTGCAATGCAGAGGAATTGACTGGCTCATCCTCAGGGACACAGGGAATGCTGGATTCCCACTCCTGCACTGCTTTGCTGGCTCTGAGTTGACCTCAGGAATCATTTAGCCCTTTGCTGCACATCTCACATACAGAGAGCAGTTAAAAAACCCTGAGCAATTATCAGCGTGTTTTGGGGAGGGTGAGAGGCCCTCAAATCACGTGGTTAAATGTTGTAGATCAGAGTGAAAAAATGTGTTTATTACTTATTTTATAAGGGGGAAAATGCTTATATTACTTGTTTTTGTGAGAGGAAAATACTTATATTACTTATTTTTGCGAGAGGAAAAGAAATACAAAGTGCCAAGAGGTTTCTCATCCTTGTATCAAAGCACTTCAGTTTCTGCACTTACTTTTCAGTGTAAAAAAAAAAAAGATATTATTCAACTGGCAATACAACGTTGTAAGCCAGGAGTTTCTTGCTGTGCTTTAGTGCTGCCAAGGCTGGTCACGGACAGGGGAGGGAAAGGAGAGCAGGGATTGCTGGATCCAAACACCAACCCTCCTGGACAGGCTGGGAGAGCTGGGGGGGTTCCCCTGGAGAAGAGAAGGCTTCAGGGAGAGCTGAGAGCCCCTTCCAGGGCCTAAAGGAGCTCCAGGAGAGCTGGAGAGGGACTGGGGACAAGAGATGGAGGGACAGGACACAGGGAATGGCTTCCCAGTGCCAGAGGGCAGGGAGAGATGGGATATTGGGAAGGAATTGCTGGCTGGGAGGGTGGGGAGGCCCTGGCCCAGGTTGCCCAGAGAAGCTGTGGCTGCCCCTGGATCCCTGGAAGTGTCCA